CATCTGTTTCGGATGCCTCCTGGGCGCCTTCCTAGGGAGGTGTTCCAGGCATGTCCCACCAGGAGGAGGCCCCGGGGAAGACCCAGGACACGCTGGAGGGACTATGTCTCTCGGCTGGCCTGGGAACGCCTCGACATTCCCCCGGAGGAGCTGGAGGAATTGTCTGGAGAGAGGGAAGTCTGGGCATCTCTGCTTAGACTGCTGCCCCCGCAACCCGGTCCCGGATAAGCGGAAGAAAATGGATGGATGGATGGATGGATAAAAATTTACAGATACTTACTGGCGACCCTGCGACCCAGCCCCGGATAAGCAGAAGAAGATGGATGGATAGATACTTACTGATGTAAGCTGTAATCAGGGTTTATTGGGTATTGATTACCTGACAGTAGGTATCCTTTGAGGCGGGGCAGCAGAGTTTCCGGATCGATCAGCGTCAGTTTGCCCAGACATTCGGCCACCACATTCCTGGTTCCTTCCTCCTGACACTCGCAGTGTTTGAGCAGCAGAGACCAAACCGACTCCACGTACGGCTTCAGACCGGACACGGATGCAGAGCCTTGACACAGACACACACGTTAAAACCATACACACACACACACATGTGTGTACAGCATGTGTGAGCTGCTGTTCTTCTTACTGATGATCTCTTTGAGCGAGTGGAGAAGCAGGTACTGTCTCTTGGAGGACGAAATCTCCTGCAGGACGAAGGGTAAATACTCTGGGAGATTCCCCACCGCAATACTGCCCAACGCATAGGAGGCTGCTGACTTCACCTGAAACACATGGGCCCATTCAGGTATAGACTGCACCAGTATACAACTAATAATAGAAAGCAGAATTTGGTGAACAACTAGATGCGTTTCCTGAATTCTTCTGTCTGTGGTACTAAACAAACTGGCATCATAGAACAACACCCTAGAACTAACCTCAGTCAACAAGGTTTCAGTCACAGGAGGTGCAAATTGTTCAACTGAGTAAAAACAGTGACAACACAGTTAAAACAGAAGGGCAAAGACAGCAGCTGCACTGAAAAGAAACCGCTGAAATCCTGCTTTGTCAGCTTCACTGAACACCTGACAATCAAACAGAAGGATGCTACCTCTTCACTGGAGGAGGAGAAGGCGTCCAGGATGACCGTTTTGAGCTCCGGTTGGCCGCTGAGGTCCACATGGTGACCCACCTCACCCAATGAGAGCAGAGCAAGCAGTCTGATGGAGTCTGTGGAGCGGCTGTTCTTCACATCCTGTCAGAAGAAACAATCATGCTCACAATCACATCTTGCAGGTGGACATACTGGACTCCCCGATTAACATCAGAACTTATTTCATTTGAAGCTAATGTGTAATGTAACCAAGTAAAAAAACCAAGTCTGATTTAACTGACTTTATATGACAATTCAGAGGGATATATTGGCCTTTTTACTCCAATATATCTGATAGTTTTACTTAGAATAATATTTTACATCCCAAAGAAACACTGATGCACATCTATAGATTTCACTGCTCAACAGTTCAAACTAGCCCCACCTGAACCAGCTACAACAGGATAATGCTGCCTCCACATGAACCTTTCAGTATTAATAATTTATAATGGTTTAACAGTCACATGGGGTACTTAATTAAAAGTAGCCACCTTTTACTTTTGGTACTTTAAGTACATCATGCTAAAAGTTTTTATGCAGGACTTTGAACTCTCCTCTCATGCTGAAGCATGGTAACATCGTTAGCTTCTGTTGTGTCGTCTCCTTCCAGCGCCTCACTGTCACGAGTGTAAAAATTGTCAGATGGATTTTACTTGCGGGTTGGAGAACATCCACACAAGGTTCATTATTTCCTTTGTTGTTCAGGCAGTGTTTCTCCCCAGGCCTGTGGGGAGGCTTTGCCCTAAAGACTGAAGTCAGGGAACAAAGGTCTCCTATTCAGAGTAAATGCAGATTACCATCCCTGAAACACTAACATGACACCCTGTAGACTGCAGCACATGCACCGATATGTACTTGGAGCTATTTTTAGGTAAGTATATGGTAAATCCCCCTGCCCGGATGTGGGCACACACTGTACTACACACCTCTGCTTACAGTCCTAATTTAAACTTGCTCTCAGGTGTTCAATATTGAAGAAGAATCTCCTGCTCTTCAGAATCATGAACCAGTGCAGAGCTACAGTATGTACAGGTCACACAGAGCGACTTTACCTGGATGAACTGCCCAACCACAGCAGGCCCCTCGGTGGGACAGGCTCGGGTCAGAGCTGCCACACACTTAGCGATGGAGCAGTAGGCCTGCTTGTGAGGCAGAGCGGTACTCTGGGAGTAAACTGGACCAGTCAGCATCCTCAGCAGGTCCATGTAACCCAGCCCAGGAGTGTCAGTAGTCACCAGAGCCTGAACACAGATACACACATTAATGCACATTCATGTTCAAAGGATTCTTTAAAGCCTCAAACTAATGTTGTGCATATGAACACCAGAACTTTGACTAGCACTAGCTGAGCAGAAAACCAGGCCTTCATTGGAGACAAGATCTGTCCGATATCTCCAGCAGATCACCAGCTCCCAACACTGTGTGTTCTACTGACCAGCCAGCCCAGCACCTTAACATGTGACACAATGTTGCACTTTTTTTTTCTGCACAACTCTTAGGTGGTAAATGGTCACGTTTAGCCAGAATAAGCCACATTAAAACCTGGACCACTGGACATTTGGATCAGGTGACCTCTGGGGAAAACCTTGGTGTTGTACCTGGTAGAAGTCCAGCATGGCGGCGAGAGCTCCGCCCTGCAACAGCGGGGATCGAACCAGTGCAATGAGCTGCTGGAGGAGGTTTCCTCCGCTCAGCTGACCCAGCGAGGACGGGTGAGTCACCGCCAGTGTGGACAGGAAGCTCAGCGCCATCTGAGACACGTGCATGTCGCTCTCTGAGATGAGAGGAGGCAGCTCAGCCAGGACGGCGTCCACCATGACCGGAGTCACTGCAGAGCTGGAACAACAACATGCTCACAGTGTTAGTGGGCAGAAAGAGAAGCTGGAGTCTGTGTGTATGTGTGTGTGCTACCTGTAGTTTCTGAGCAGGATGTCCAGAGCAGCCAGTGTGCAAAGCTTCAGGGCGCGCTGGTTCTTGCGGAGGAAGGAAGCAAGGATGGGAATGGCATCGGGGAGAACTGGCCGCAGATCAATTTTCAACAGCGAGCCGGCAATCAGCGTCAGAGCTGTGACACAAACATACACGAACCCACAAACAGAGAGAAAAAAAAACAAACAAACAAACAAACAAAAACCACACACAACCAGCAAGATAAAAGCCAAGTTAAAGAAAGAAATTTGATGACTCACTTTAAAGCCTCCAATTTAAAGAGCTGGAAGAGGATCAAGTTTTTCATTCTGATCCGGTAAGATACAACCTACTGTGCTGTTGCAGTTAGTGGAGTAAAACCCCTCAACAGCACTGACAGCAATCAAAAACACAAATGCTGTATTGCCCTTCTTTCTTTGAGATTGTCATGAACCTGCACAGCGAGGCTCACCCTTCACTGTCGTCAGTCTTGTGATTTCGTTCTTGAGGCGTTCTAAGAAAATCAGTAATGTCCCAGTTAGTTCGTTGGGTAAATGGTCTCCTACAAAAAAACAAACAGGAAGAAAAGACAAGAAGGTGTTAATAAAAGAGAAGCTGCATCACAAGCGATGTCTCGTCTCTGTGACTGACAACTGTGGTTACCCAGGTTGCAGATGATCTGCCCCATACAGGAAATGGCTCGTTCTTTGACTTCCTGATCGATGTCGGCAGCTTTCAGCCGTCTGATCGTACAAGCGAACAAGTCGTTAATGTAGGGGGAGGGGTCAAAGTTGTCTGAGCCCTCTGATTGGTTGTCCAGAGGTCGGATCACCTGCAACAGACAGAGTAAATCATCTGTGACATCAGAGGTTGAAGAGGTTTAGAAGGCTACAGGTTCGACTCCCACCTTGACGAGCTGCTGAGTGACAAGCAGAGCCTCAGAGGTAATCTTGTAAAAGGGGTCTCCCACACACGCCACCACGGGTGGGACAAGGGCGGGGACATGGGCATGGAAGGCATGAGCAGGGTGAGTGACCATGATGACATGCAGGCAGGCCAAGGCGTCAATTTTCAGGTTGGAGCTGCTCGACTTATCATTCAGAGAGAAGATGATACCTGAAAAACAAAGATACTCCATGTACTACTACTGATACTGTAACACAGAGTAGATGGTCATACTGCTCCTCCTCTTCTTCAGCTTGCGATTATTCCCTGCTACTGTGTTTGATAGTTTTACACTTACTACAGTAGTAGTAGTAGTGTAGTATTACCTGGTATAAGTACTGGGATGTGCTGAGTCAGGGCTCCAGGGAGGACATTCACCAGCTCAGTCAACATGTTGAAACAACATTGACGTGTTTTGACACTTTTCTCTTTCAGCTGCTTGTGAAGAGCTTTCACTATCATGGGAACCTACCGAGGGTGAGAGACATTAGCAGAGACAGACTCACAAAGTGAGCAAGAGAGAGAGAGAGAGAAAAAAGACCACCAGAACTGCTTCCTGTTGTCTGCGGATGCCGAGGGTTTCCTGTCGCAGTGAAAGCACAATCTAAGCAAAGCTCTGCTGATCAAGGCATCCAACATCACCACCTACTGCATGAAAACACTGATATCTGTGAGAAGCAGATTTATGGACAATTACAGGACGTCACAAATGTCAACCCATCAAATAATACTTTTATACAATGAATTCCCAATGAATTAAGTTGTTGTGATCGACTGAAATGTGTCTTCAAATGTCCTGATTTGTCTAAAACCCAAAGATACTCCTTCTATAACTATATAAAAATGACAGTATTAAATCTGCACATGCGAGAAGCTGGACACAGAAGCTGTTTTTGCTTAATAAATGACATCCCATATAACATCTAGAATCAAAGCTGTTGCAGATTATTTTCTGGTCTTAATCGTTTCAGCTCTGGAATAAATAGAAGCTGCAGTCAACAGCCTCAGTTATACCTGGCTCTGCAGCATCGTTAGCGGTGTGTCCCCCTGCTCCATGGCATCTGGGTCAGCCAACCAGCTCTGAGCTGGTCTGGTCTGTTTCAGCAATGACAGGTAGGCATGGAAAACATCCGCCTTCACGTTCTCCTCCCTCTCCTGCAGACACACAGGAAGATCCAGTCAGGTTGACAGGTATGGATCAGCATAATCTACAGGTGAGTTAGCCGCATTGACAGGAGGCTTTACTGGCATTAGCCTCCTGAAAAGGCAGAAACTAGTTAAAACAGGGGGTTGGGATTAGTGTGACTGACAGCTGACTGTCAGTTTCATCAACAGCTAGACGTTTCCTGACCACAGTAAACAATTAGTCAGTGCAGACAAGTCTACTAGACTAATACTCAACCGTTCTATGATAACAAGCTCTGAAGAATTAGAATGCAAACAAAGCATAGTCAGGAGATGAGTGGGACCTTAAAGCGACAGACAAGCGCGGGTGAGACAGAGCGGTAAAACTCCGGCAGCATCTCGTGGCGAGTTGAAACGACGGCGTCCAAACACTTTGCTGCTGCCCGTCGAACCTTCCAGCTCATGTCGTCGTCGTCACTGTACTCATCATCGCTGCCTGGACAGACAGAAACAGACAGCGTGTCACCAGCACATCAAGCTTCATCACTGATTAATGTCAGTATAGGTCCAAGGTGGCGCTGCAACATTTCATCTTGATACATTTAACAGTTGCATTTCAGCCTTGATCAAAATGGTCGACTGAAACAACCAACAAACACAAACACTGGTTACTTAGCTATTTAAACAGTTCAGGGTCATATGTCAGTACCTTGGTACTCTTCATCGTTCTGCTCAGCGTCCATGGCATTGTCATCCTCATCTTCATCGTCAAAGTTATAGTTGGGGTCGTAGGTCAGGTAGCGCAGACAGATGGAGATGACGGTGGGGACATGGGGGTAAACTTCTTTAGGACACCTACACCAACAAATAAAGGATGAAACAACAAGAACTACAAAAGAGGTTGGCAGTATTACTGTGTGTATTACCTCCTAACGAAGGACTCGAAGGCCTGGATGCAGTACTCTCTGAGCTCGTCATCATCAACATTACAAAACTTCACTACCAGAGGAATGATCTTCTCCAGATACTCTCCTACAGACAGAAGGCAGGAGGTGACCGTTAGTGAACATGGTGCGAGACTTAGTGCATGAAAACCAGAAGATTCACAACAAGTAAACATCAACATTTTGAAGTGAACAGTCTTTTGTTGCATTAAAGGTTTTCTTTGCTATTGTATACTGGCTGCCTCGTCTCACCAATCCGGTGTCCTGCCTGTCTGCTGATGGCGGCTGTGCACTGGATGTAGGTTCTTGTGGTCGACATGTTGTCGTTCCTCCCCAGCTCGGTCAGGAGGTGTTCGATCAGATCAATGAAGACCAGGTTCCCGCAGGACATCACCAGGTGGCCCAGAGCCATGATAGTCCTCTGAAATTGTCACATGAGGAAGAACTAAAAGTAAACAGCTTCCACAGATCAATCTAACTAAGAACAGCCCCTAAACACGTCTAAACGTTGCTATATGCAGTGTGAGAAGTTAGCGGAGGAGTGTAAAGACTGTACAAAGTGACGGCTGTTTGCTGAAACCAGACGGGCCTCACATGCTTACTGAGGAACAGAAGTGTAAAGATAAACCGATACGAATCGCAAAGTCAATACAAGAGTCAGCTTTACAGCTGCAGCGGTTGAAAACCACAGATTCGAACCAAATGAGTTTTAAAAAAAAAGTCTAAAATCAATACAGACCTCATAAACCGATCTTTGGCAAGTTCACTTACTTCTTGCTGCACTCACTCTATTGGGTGTGTGTGTGTCTGTGTCAGCGTATGTGTGTGCACCATCCCCTGCCAGCGTTCAAACACACCTCCTTCTTAATGGCGCAGCAATAACTGAAGCTATAAGCTATTTCATTTGCAGGGACACACGTGTCTGCTGCTGAAAAAGTTGGATTTGGACAAGTGACAGTGACTGACACATACAATAACAAGTCAGCAGGATCTAAGGGGAAAATGCATCCAGCTCTGTGCGATGAGGTGAAACAGCAGCTGGAGGCCTACTGTTCACCAGGGCCCACTGTTTACTGTTCTTAAAAAGAGGAGACATGTTTATCTATTTGGCTTTTGCTGCCTGAAATACAAAACTGAGGAAACAGTAACTCTTTTTAATTTCATACCCTAAACAGATACTCAAACATGTGTACAGTCTTTCAAATAAAAGCTAAATTCAAACTCAATTATCTGCTGAATCGAATTCACTCTGTATCGTATTGTTATAAATTTTGCAGCATCATTTTTGTATCTAATTGTTGACCATGTATCGAGATACGTATCAGATCGTGTAAGAGGGGACGATACACACCCCTACTGAGGACAAACTCCGTCACCCAGTGCAGCGCTGTGGTTCAGTGGGGTGCGTTTAATAGTTGGTGAGGGTCTACAGCACAGAGCAATAAGCTGAACCAAGGAGTACGCCACATTCACTGGTGTTGTTAAGTCTCTAGATGGGATTTGTGCACAATAACATACAAAATCACCGGCCGCACCTGTTAGAGCCAAAAGAGACGTACCTTTCTGACAGCCAGTCTGGGGGAGGTGAGCTGAGGGAGCAGGCAGCTGAGGATGGAGGGGTGGAAATTTACTAACAGACCTCCCTGTCTGCAAAGAGACAGAAAAGCAGCATTAACCACAAGAGAGAACATTTCCACCTGAGGCACACATTACAATGAGTACAGATTAGAAAAGTGACCGTGCAGGTAAATAAACAGCTCTGAGAAACAGTCTGAACACTAACTGAACATCATCACCTTCATGGAGGAGGATTTACTGCAGCACTGTTGGATCAGACTAACTTGGTTGGAGACAGGGGTTCCTAATAAACTGACCAATGACTGTGTTGTGTACTGAAACTAATGCATACCACCAGCATTTGTTGGTGGTATTTATTAAACTGTAGCTACAGGCATGACAGACACAGAGGCAAGTGCTGTACCTGCACAGCATGTCAGCCATGATGTCGAGCGCCTCTAGCTGCACAGAGACGTCTTCCTGTTTGGCGATGGCGCTCGTCAGACGACCCGTGATCTTCTTACACACGCTGGCAGCTAAAGCTGAGCCTGTGACACAGACAATCCACAGTTACCACTACATGCTGACGTAACAGCGGCACCTGCACGACCAATGTAATGGTTACAGTAACACATTTACCACTGACCCACCACTGATGTTTTAATTAAGACAGATGCAGAATTTATAGATATGTTATACATTTACCCAGAAACACCAATGCCAATTACAAATGAGGAATATGTCTAGTGGTATTTTTATATGGTAAAACAAAATGTGATGGTAGTAAAAAGTAGCCTTAATATCTAACTTGGTAGTGTCAATTTAAATACATGTCGTAAAATACACTACTGGAGACAGACTAATACTTTTAGTACTGCTATGGTACTGTAATTATCGCTGGAAGAAGGTAGCAGGTACATGTAACAAGAGTAACTGTACTTGTAGTGGTATTATTTGAGCAGTGTATATAGTATATACTTGAGATGATAGCTGAAATATTTGTAGTATTTTTAGTCTTGGCTGTAGGACCTTATTTACCACAGACGAAGCTGGCAGTTGTACATGTAACAAGAGTAACTGTAGTATTTGTACCATGTGAAAGGTGCATTTCATATATATCTGTGGTGAAAGCTGAACTATTTGTACCACTGGAGGCGGGCGGTAATTCTCCGATCACAGTTTTGAGTCCGATGGAGGAGATGTCTCTGAGTTGTTCTTTGTCCGACAGCATGTTGGTGCACAGAGTGTCCACGATCGTCTCCACCTGGTACTCCTTCACCTTACTGACCAGGGGCCCCAGGCTGACCAAACAAACGCACCCAGAGTTAACAACACAGAAGAACAAAACAAGCACACTCTCACCTAGAGACCCACACTAAGGAATTAAAACACAGGAAATACATGAGGCATACTACTGAGGCAACACAACTTTAAAAATAGTTCAGAACGTAAAACATTTTAAAACTCAAGTACAAGTTGAAAAAGATCTCATCATTAAAAATATACAGACTGAAGACAAAACAAACACACCTAACAGAGGTGTACATGCACGTGTGCGTTTTTACCATTTGACAGCCAGGTTCTGAACTTCCCCATTCTTGTCTTCCAACAGTTTGAGAATCATCCTCACCACCTGTCAATCAATCAGTCGATCAACACATGTTTGTTAAAAACAAACCAGTGTATGAACCAGTCTGAACCGACCTTCCTCTCACTGTCGTCGTCCAGTTTGATTGAATCTTTTTGTAGCTCCGTCATCAAGTCGTTTGTGGCCATAAACCTGGAGACACAGGCAAAGAATTATAATTATACAGTCAAACCACCGCACCGTCGCCACTTTGTGTGTTCACATCCCAGGCCTTAATGCTCGGTTCTGCTGTTTCGGTCAGATCTGATGTTTTTGTGTTGATGCTTCATCTTCTCCAGACGAGGACAATCACATTCAGGGACACTCTCAGGATGACTAACTTCTCTTTATGGGTATGTCTTGGCCAAATTCAAGGCCTTTAATGCAAAGTATCTGTTAAGGCTATATCCAATCCAACATTTTTATTTGTCTGTAACCCAGCCTGCACAGAGCACACATTAAAATCAGAATTAGATGAGTTTGACAGCTGAATAATTCTGCATTCAGAAAATATGCTCTGAACTGAGCAACACACACACCACCTGAAAACAAAGTGCAATTATCTCTCGTGCAGACTCGGTATTAAAGCATTCTCTGCTTGTACAGGATCAGCAGAGATTTTTACTGCAACAGGAGCGAAGTTTCACAATGTCATGCATTTCCTCTACTGACAGGCTGCCGTCGCCAGGGACGAAGCTGATTAGTGGTGCCGCCAATGTTGGCTGTGAGCATCCCTGAGCAGCTTAGAAAGGGGGCTGGTGTGCTCTGGATTGTAATGATTAAACAAGGACCTTTTATGGACTAAATTGTCTGTACATCCATCTGTCTTCATACTCACTAGGCAAAAGTCTGAAACGTTCAGTTTACAGTAATTAACTGTAAAGACAAAAAGCATGTGCTGGAGCTGCAGGTCTGAGAAGTCGCATGGCCACCTTGTGCCACTCTGCAAACATCCACAGATGTCCCAGTGAAGCATCTTTACATTTAATGAGAAGCTGTCATCTGTCACTGTGTTTGGCTCAGCTGTTTCAGAGCAGAGCAGTGAGAGGACCGGCGTGATTGGCTGAGAGTGTATCTATTGGCCGCCACACCCTCTGATCCACATTCACCTTCTGCACTCTGAGATGCTGCAGGTACAGTACATGAACCCCCTGCTCTGCACTCGTACATACACGGGCATGAGTCAGAAAAAGCCCATGTTCCAGCTGTTAGTTCAATCAACACTTGACGTCTTCTGCTACTCTACTTGTTCTCAGGTGCCACTGTTAATTAAGCTGCTTCATTAAATTTGAATACTGATTCATTATGGGCTGTCCCAAATGGCAATATCTGGGCTCTGGATATTCGGTGGTAATAAGTGATTATTTGAGAACGCACTTTTGAAATTCAGGGTGAAATCAGTTTGAATATTCGAATGCTCGGATATACGGATCCAGCCCTAGATCCATTTAACAGCTAGCATTGAAAACTGGAGCATTTCTGGCTTCTTGCCCAACAACTGCTGATCACAGATGAAAACTGAATAATCAAGTTATTTGTAACTTTATTTACTTATAAATAATGAAAGCTAAACTTACTGAAGATTAATAAGGCATTCAAAAGAATTCTATAAAATGCTGTCAAACCTCTAATATATGCCTGTGTAGTGAGGGAGCATGAAAAACGTTATTCCTGTCTTTTGTGGCTGAATCGAAGTACAAATACCAATAACAATAATGTAATAACATTAACAAACATTATGCTGACAGGATAAAAAAGTTTGAACTCAAATGTTAACACGTTCTTGGGCTTTCTTGTAGCTCAGCTGCTTTAATGGCTTAATAGTTAGTTTTGCAAGACAAAGATGAAGGATTTTGTGAATACTTCTTTCCCCGGCTACAGACTACCATTAGTGAAGCAAAGCACTGAACTCCATTACTAAATGAGACCAGCTGACCCACTCACAACCCATCAATTCTGAATCCAACTGTGAGTTTGCCAAAGAGTGAGTAGAGATTTGTGGCATAACCTAACCCACTGTCAAGGTGCTCAGGAAAAGGAAAAAGCAACCATAATCTCTGCACAGCAAGTGATTCTAGAGTTTTAACCAGCTCCCAGGTTCCCAGCTCCAAAAGTTAGAATTAATGGCATTCTATAAAGGATTTCAAACTAAATTTGAAATCACTAAAATGCAATCAAACCTAACCTTAGTTACGCTTGTTTAGTATTTCAGGTGTGGTTTACACGGGCTTTAGACTGAAGCGGTTTGATTACATAACAGCTTTGGAAAACAGTCCTCGCCTCAAATTACGCATCAATTGACTTAAATTCACGCTGTTTACATTGACAACAACCATCTGAGTGATGACCTGAACTACCAATGCTACCACACCACCAAAGCATCATGGTAATTAACCGCGGCGACTCACCAGCGTCACTAAACCACATTAACCTGCTGCCCGAGCACCAGTTTGCTGTGAACTAAAACGGAAACAAGACACCAACATGCATTGCAAAAACTCAAACATTAGCTGACATCAGGCTAGCTTGCGGCATGACTGAAGCTAGTCCTTCCAATGAGCTAACCAGCTAACTAGCAGGCGAGCTAACTGCTAACTGGAGGCGATGACCTGCAACTCAGCCTTCTGTTTAGCATGGTGTGCAGCTGTATAGCTTGCTATGCAGCTGCTAACCCTGTCGTCGAGTTTAACCCGCTGTCAAATCAATCGTTTAAAAACGCCAACGGTGTTAGCTAAGTAGCTAATTAGCTAGTGATGTGACGATGATCAGACAGGTGGCAGGCTAACAGTTAGCATAAGGCCTAACAGCCCCACCACTAGCTTCCCAGCCATTATATTAATACTGGTTAAAACTGGCTCAATTATCGATGTAAGCCACATAGTCAGTTTGCCTTTCTGAGGTTATATTTTACCTGAAATCCTTGTCGCTGGAAGTCATTTTCTCCAGCAGGTTGGAGATGTGGTACGAGGCGCTCGCCATGTCGGTGTTAGCCGTTAGCCTCCTGCTAGCAGACTGCGCTCAATGAGTGAGTGTCCCGGCTGCTGATTGACTGGCTGGCTGGTTGGTTGTATCTATGGCTGACTGTTGGTCTGTCCCGGTAATCTGATTTTTGAGGTGAAGTGTGTATTTGTGGTGCTTGTTCTGCAGCTATCTTCTACAGTGACTGTCGCATCCCGGACCGCGGAGTTTGGTGTGTTTGAATAGAGCTCCCGTTCTCTGCAGAGGGGCGGGGTTAGCAGGACTGGACGCTGCGAGGTCAAAGGTCAGAGTTTGCAAACTTCCCCACCTCTGAAACATTACTTTCGGTAACATAAATAAGTGCATTTACTCAACTCTGCACTTAAATACAAATATGAGGTACTTTATTTGATTTTGTTTTTTGAAAAAGCTATTTATTTGTTCAAAGGTAAAGTTACAGTCCAACATAACAGAGCGTAGCATCATAACAGTACATTGCATCATGGCGGAGCAAAATATTGAATATTCTCAAAGGTAGCATTTTCCCATTCTGATTTAGTGTTTTTCCCTTTCACTTAGTCTTTAGAGGCAATATTCTCCAGAGACCACAGAGTTTTATGTTCGTTGAGATGTCTGGAAGTGTCTCGACTGGTCTATGTAGTCTCTAATCTAAGGGGAATTAAGTGATGGCTGGAAGAGAGGGGAATATGATCTTCGACTTATCCTTGATTGAGTCCACACCCCACTTCTCTATGTCAAAACTTAATCTTTTCTTAATCTCCATTTCACCACCCCACTTTCAGTCAACTTCATGGAATTATCCTGTACAGATTGTCTGCCATTCCACATTTTAGTCTTGGTCAAGGAGATAAGTATTACCAATGGTAAAAGATGTTTCTTTTTTACATTTTTCATTTCAAAATAAACCACAGTTTTATAGTTCACACTTTTTAAACACGCAAATCTTTGTTTTAACAAGTTCCACACCATAATTGCAAAATTACATTCCCACAGAACGTGACAGATTGTTCCCCTGGCGAAACGGGAGTTTCTCGGACAGAACTTATTTAAAGACAACTTGTGATTGTGCAATGTGGACATGACAGTAAGCTTTCTGTGTAAAACAAGCCAATTGAAATCTTTCAGTCTGTTTTCAAGACCTGTTGACAATGCTTTTGTCCATACTGTTGATAGTATGTGTAATATTTCTGATGCACATAATTTCTCAAGCATTTTTTGATAGAAAAGCTTATGATTCTGGACATCATTTATGTCTTGACATTCTGAGATTTTCCTTGCCATTTTATAATATACTGGAAATATTCTGGCATGGTTTCTGCTTTAATGGATTTGTTGTCCCATTTCATCAGCGTTTCAAGATGGCCACTAAACCACAGCATGCCGTGCAGCATGTCAGAGTTAAGCTAACAGAGCTGAATTGAATTGAAATTAATTTAAATTGGACATTAGAGGAGATTAAAGGAAATTAACATGCCACCCAAGAAAGCAAGTAATTATGTGGAGGAAGAGCTGGAAGAAATAAGAAAAACTGCTTAATTCCATAACGGAAAAGCTTTTCAGTGTGGGTGAACAGCAGGCTCAGATAGTACAGGTATGTGCCAAAAAATATGAATATCAAGGGAAAGTCCATTTATTTCAATAATTTGTTTCAAAAAGTGAAACTTGTATGTTATATTAGTTCACTACACACAAAGTGAAATATTTCAAGCCTTTATTTGTTTCAATTTTGATGATTATGGATTAAAGACAAAAAAACCCCAAATCCAGTATTTCACAAAATTAGAATATTTCATGTGACCAATAAAAAAAGGATCTTAAACACATGTTGGCCTTCTGAAAAGTGTGTTAATGTACTGTATTATGTCCTCAGTACTTTGTTGGGCCTCCTTTTGCATTAATTACTGCATCAAGGAGGCGTGGCATGGAGGCGATCAGCATTTGACACAGTCGAGGTGTTATGGTAGCCCCAGTTGCTTTGATATTTGACTTCAGCTTGTCTGCATTTCTGGGT